AGTGTGAATTGAGAAGCTAAGACAAAACCCGCGGCAATAAAAAAGCTTTTGCCTTAGAAATTCGATTTGGCAGCTCCCCCTCTTCAGTTGCGTGAGTTGGGTGCGTCTATCATGCGCCAGATCAAATTAGTCTTTTCTCGGCCCCCTTCCTGAACCTTTTCGGATTTACCGCGGTCTCCTATGCAGACCCTATGGAGGGGGAGGGTATTGTATTGCCACAGACAAACTCGGTCAGCGCTGTGTGAACTGAAAACGGAAAAACGAGTACAACAATTGCAATCTGTTTACATCTCTTGGGAACTTTGTATGGATGTGGGTTTGACTTTGCGTTTGGGTTGACTTGGCCAAGAGCTATGGGTTTTTGGGCCCATAAATATCAGACGAAAGGGTGCCAAGTCGAAGCGGTAATCTTATCAAAGACATTGCCAAAATCGGCCTGATAAGCGGGCCAGCATAATCCGCAGCGATAAGGCTGCACTGAGAGCTGGGGAATTTGGGAACTTGGAAACTTGGGAACTGGGCACTGGAGTATTACCCAATCATGTGATTAACGGCCCTAGACGGCGCGAAAAGAAAGTGAAATCGGACGGGCTTGAAGAAAAACATAAGCCAGAGCCCAAGCGAACCGAGTTCAAGGCACCTCGATGGATCCAGCGAGAGTGTTTTGCCGCCTGGCCGCATAATTAGTTGTAAATATTTTTATACGTTTTATGGGACTTATGGTTATGAGGTACCGAGAAAGCCAGGGCACGTTGGGGAATGTGTCCCCTCGGCTAGGGCTTATATATCGTATATGAGTACTCTAGAACGTGTTTAAGATACGCGACAATTCGTTATAGATGGGCAATTTAACGGCCACAAATGTCAAAGTCACGAACGGTAAGCGTAAGCGGCTTTTTAGCAGCGGCCAACGCGGCGTATGAGCGATCGTAAGGCGCTCAGACGATATTTACACGTTTGCAGTTTGTTTCTCAAAATATATAACTATTGCTGGTATTTGTTGACACTGACACTGGCACACTGGAAAGTCGGGAGCTATAGACGCACCTATAATTGGAGGCTAACTGTCCGCTGCGTTACCGTAAAACGCCAAAACGTAACTGAAAACTGAAAACAGAAAACAGCAAACTGAACGAGCAACTTCGAATGCCTGGAGTCACATCACATCACAACACAACACACATCGTCGTCGCTCGTCGGCGGTTATCGCTCTGCTCGTGCGCATATATAGCTATATGATGGCTATATGGCTGGCAAAATAAATACGAATACCAAATACCAGATACCAGATACCTGAAAAGCTGTTGGCCGCTGGCGCTTAATAGCCATAGCCCATAGCCCAAAGCCCACAGAAAAATGCCCTAGAGGCGCCCTGCGTGAAAGGTGCACGCCATAACACCCTCCAGAAAAGAAAACTAGAAAAAAAAGTGATGTGTACATTACTTAATTGCTGGCAAATTATGCACCATCCGGACGGTGGAGCATTTAGGCACCACAAAAGTGGACACTTCCGACGGGCAAAATTAAAGAAAATCCACCGAAATGGCATTAATTATTTCGGTAAACATTTACCAAGTTTACACGTGCCGCAGTCGCATGATCTGCTGATCATGAATGTGCAATAAGGTCTCGATTATCTGTTCATTTGCCAGGCAAATGGGAACAACTTGTCGTTGACTCACTTTGTTGTTTATTTGCTCAGCCCAATGATGGGTCAGCTTTGCGGAACAATTGCCTTAGACAGACACGTATTTACCTTACGAGAGTGGTTGTTCAATGAGCCAAAGATTAAGCGCGTCGTTGCTTTATGACCACTGCAATTAAGGCGTATTTATAGATCAGTTCAGTGGCGGAACCAGGATTTGATTGTAAGGGGGGTCAGCTTAAATTTGTATTAGCCTAATTTTCTTTCATTCTTTACCAGAGCGTTTTGGGAGACTACAACTTAAAACCCCTTCCCCGACCTACGCCCCTGGACCAGTTATTAAGTTTCCCAACAAAAAGTGCCTCATAAATAATATATTTGAAAAATAAACCACTGAACTTTGGTTTAATTAATCTGCTGCAACAATGTAATCTCTTTAATATTTTATCAACATTTAGAGAAATCGTTTAACTGATATTTGCAAAAGCATGTAGCCCATTTAATAGGTATGTCAATACAGATAAAAACAATCCATATGAAATCTTTATAACTTTTAAATAAAATCAATGAGGTCAAACATGTATAACTGAAATTTCACGTACATTATTTGGTAATTCCTGACAATTTTCTCCATAAAAAGATTGTGATTTTACAATATTATATTTCAATACAGATAAAAACAACTAACTTCTTATCTTTATGGTTTATAAACAAATTTATAACGGGAATTTGAAGACAAATTTTTGGCACTGTAATTTAAAACATAAAGAAAACATAAAATCATAAGTCAACGACAATTTTTAATATTTATAAGCACTTGTTATATGTTTTCCAAACATCTTAAGAAAATATGTCAGTAAATAAAAATTCAATTTTTTTTGGGATCTTAAATATTGTTAAATACATGAAAGCTATTTTTATTAAAATTCAAAGAGTATTTAAAATAATTTGTATTTGAGTAAAGGTATATGGTAAACACTTAAACATTCATGAACAAAATGTTTTATCTTCGTTTAGTTTTATCGCTTTTTTAAATCACACCAACTATTTCACACATTTTTGTGAGCTTCCTGTATTTAAGTTCGCATGAGCACTACAGTTCCCGAAAAAAGCCCAAAACACACGAAACCATATCGGTCTGATAACTATTGCCAACACCGAAATTGTGTGAGCTGGTGTTGTGTTCTCGTGGCTGTTTGATTATTTCGCTGATAGCGAGAGCAAAGTGTATTTGCCATTTACACGATTACGATTCAGAACAGTCTGAAGAGACAGCGTTTTTGATGGGCTGCCCTAATGCGAGGGTCCCAACGCGCAAAGGCGCCCGTTTTCCCCCGATGGCCGTGAAAATCGCGGGGGAGTGGCGGCGGGATGTGGCAGAGTGGATTTGAGTGGATCCGAGTGGAGTGGCGCATGGTGGAGGTGGAGTGGGAAAAGCCGTTTGACTTGTGCTCGCGGGGAGTGGCCTGGCCCCAAAACGGAATGAATGCCCCATATACATAGCCAGGCACATCATAAAGCCTGGAAAACTGGTAACTCGGCACAGAGAAAAAATGTAGCAGATATAGGTCATCGATTTGGGAGTTCCTCCCATCAATATGACTTCAGTTCTCTATAGTTTGAATATTAAATAACAACTTGTTTTGAAAGCATGATTTATAATAAATTTTGTATCATAAATCCAAACAAAGTAAATATTAGTATCATCTTATTGAGAAACTTTTCAGACCCAATAGTTTAAAGTTCGTGTTACAATACTTTAATTTCTACTCCAAATTTTTTTTTTGGGTGTAGATAGATAAATATATCAGTAATCGATTCTTATCTTCTAAGAAGAAAGAAAAATCTATAGATATGAGATCTTTATCTCTGATCATGATAATGAGTTAAATGACTTCATTGACTTCAAACGAGATAATAATTAACTTTTATAAATAATGTAATTAATTTATGTAATAAAAACGATTAAAATCTCTCTGATAAGTTAATAAAACCCATAAACACATACATTTATGTATTTTTCCCTGTGTGTCGACCTATTTTCGCCTAACAGAGCGGAGGAAGCCAGTTTTGGCCAGTGGATGTGGTCAATCGATGTGCTAATTACTGGGTACCCAGAATTCAGAATTCAGAATTCAGAATTCCTCAATTCCAGAACTCCAAATGCACATACATATATACAAGTATATCCACTTCCACTGCCAGCTGCCCCAGACGATGTTTGCACATCATTACAACAATTACGCCGCCAAGTGCTTTATTTTAATGATCTATTTGCGAGTGCGGTTGAATAACACGCTAATTGACACACAACACAAACGGACGTGCACTTGAGCCGGAGTCGCAGTCAAAGTCGGATTCCAATTCCGATTGGATTCGTATTGGATTCGTATTGGGACCCGCAACCTTGACAAAGAAAATTTCCAATTAACGGCGCTTGCCAATTTGCGTACACTGCGCGAAAGAAACACGCACAAAACTGGCACACGCAGTTCGTTAAGAACTTATTAATTTTTAGCAATTATAACATAATGGCGGTAGTTAACAAATTGGGTCGCTGTCGCTGTGAAAAGAGAAGTCAAATTCTGGACACTGCGTGGATCGGTGGCTTATCGTAAATGGCAGCCGAATGGCGAAAAAATGGATGAAAGAAAACACATTGATTGGCTTGATTATGCACAATAAATAAGAGTCGGTGACTTGTTCACTTCTGTCAGCTTTCCATTCGTTTATGTTAAATTGCTGGGCGCTGCTGCCAATTAAAATAGAAATTGTTGACCAGCCGAAAAGTCTGTCGTTTGTTTTGCATAAAAAATTAAAACTTGGACACACAAACGAAACATACGAATTGTTATGGTTGATCTTGTTGTTATTGTTGTTGCTGTTGTTGTTTTTCAGTTGCTGTTGCTGTTGCTGCACGCGGCGTAAAACTTTCGAATCTGATGGCTTGGGATCGGATCGGATCGGATTGGATCGGATCGGAAACGTTTGGATAGCGCAAAAACGCTCTGCACAGGCGCGTAACGTGTTTTCAACTGAGCTCGAGATCGCGGCAACAGCAACACCAAAAGCAGCAACAGCAGCAGCAGCATCAGCAGCAGTAGCAACAACAGCAATAGCAACACCCAAGGCAGCAACAATGCCAGTTTTAATGAATGAAAGCGTAATTTTTTTACCCGCTTTGTCAGGCCAACAATGTGCACTTTTTGTGCGTTCGCCACAATGCCCGTCCTTTGAGTTCACACACAAAAGACGAGCAAAACAAAAGCCAAAACAAACATTGCTTTATTGCCAAGTCGAAATTGCCATTTGAATTCGATAGCGCGATAGCACTGTGCCGTCTATCGATAACACAGCACTGCCTCTGACCCGCGCTTTTCAACACTGGCAGTCTTATTAGTTTACAAACAAAATGCTTAAATAATAAATTTAGCATGTAGAATCCAAGGACATGGCACCTCAGCTCTCGAATGGTCAGCATTATGTGGAAAGTGCCCGGGTGTACATGAAAAAGGACTCATCCATTCGCATAAAGTGCTGTCTCTGCAAAGCGGACACTTTTGCCGGTGGCGAGTGGGAGGATTTCCTGAGACACCTAGTTCAAAAGCATGGAGCAGCCGGCCAGGTGAATGGAGATGTGGATGAGATCCAGGACGAGGTCCAGGTGGAGCTGGCCAACCTCTCAGAGGCGGGCATTGGCCAGGAACCCGAAGTGGCAGAGCACCAGGAGCCGGAATTGTTCACCAATGTGGAGTTTCTTGAAGACGAACAGGTTAACGATGAACTTAGTTCTCTTTCTGAAGAAGAGTCGAATCAGGATGAGCCTGGAAAGATTAGCCAGCAAGTAAGCATAGTTGGTAGCCAATGAAATCCCCTCTCTACCTCTGTATTTTCCTTGCCTCCCACAGGACTACATTCTCAACAGACCCAACAAGCCCTTCTACAGCCTCCAACGCACTAGACCTGAGATAATTCACTATTTCATAGAACTTCTGCGCCGGCACAAGTTCCTGTGGAGCAGCCACCGTGGAACTAACCGAGACGATCGCCTGAGGAGTTCGCAACAAGTGGCAGAGGCACTGTTCCATCGGTTTGGCTTCCAGCTGCAGCCCCAGGTGATCGGTGCCAGTGCCCGTTTCCTGCAGGTCTGGTTCGAGCGGCAGTATGTGATGCAGCTGAGCAACTCCGACTTTCGCTGCCGCCACCCGAAGTACTACCGCAGCTTGCTGAGATTCATGCCCACGAGCCACATCTCGGTGACCATTTGCGAGGAGTGCGACAGGCGTTTCCTCAACGATCTTCAGCTGCGGCTGCACAAGTTCCGCGTTCACGACGGACCCAATCCGAATGTGTGCCAGGTGTGCCACCAAGGATTCCCGCTCGCTTCCAAGCTGCAGCAGCACCAGGCGCGTTATCACTTCAAGCCGCAAGAGTGGCAGTGCGGCCAGTGCGCCTACAACGCCCCCTCCAAGTGGGACTTCCATCAGCACCAGGCCATGCATGCGGGGGAGCGGAACTACACCTGCGAGGTGTGCGGGCACAGCTGCAAGACCAGCTCTGCCTTGGCCGTGCACCGGCGCACCCACGACCAGCCGAGATTGGCCTGTCCCCACTGTAGCCGGCAATTCCGAGAGAATTACACTTTGAAGTGCCACATCCGAAAATTCCACGAGGGCGACAGTGTGCGCAGGTTCTCCTGCAGCGTCTGCCGGCGGAGATTTCAGACCATGGAGGTGCTGGAGCTGCACAAGCTGGTACACGCCGAGAGGGCAGAAGAGGAATCAGAGGAGGAGGAGGACCCTTAGGGACTGAAAGTTGATGAAACCAAGGGTCTACACTTATGATAAGAAAACAAATCTCCTCCAGGTACTAAAACAAATAAATTGAACCTGATTATTGATAAGACTTAATCCAACCTATATACTATGTCTCCTTAGCTATTAAACTTATTATCACCACGTTTTCGCCTCGTATCAGGATCTGTGGCAGATGCCGCACTATCTCCACGTTCTTTCGGTTCAAACTTTTGACTTGAGTCTGGGGCAGAGTGATGCCCAGCTCCCTGAGTCGCTCGCTGCAGTCCACAGGTGTGTCGCATATGTTCTGCTCTCCGTAATTGTACTTTCGCCGCTTCCATGTTTCGGTGGCTCCTCTGAGGAGGAGATTCCACTGCTTGTCGAAGGCCACCAGTTCACCCTCCACACTGCCGCCTATCGCTCCCTGCTTGCGGAGCACCACCCGGACTCGTATCCTTTCGGTGGTTTCCTTGTGGCCGGCCAAGGGTATGCACTTCCTGAGGAGTTCCAGCGGACCGACAGTCGCCTCCATATAGGTGAAAATGTTGCGATGATGCTTCTTCTTCGAGCTGCTCGTCGTGGGCATCTGATGGAGCTCAAAGCGGCGCTGAGGAGGCTCTAGGATGTTGGCAGACATGGTGGAAGTGCTGCCCTTTTTTGCTGCTTCTTGATCTCCTCCGGCTCCTCCTCCAGTTTTCGCCTTCTGCCTCTTGTTCAACTGCCAGATCCCGAACTTTTTGAGAGCACTCTCGAAGGCGGCCAGGTTTTGGTACAGAACTTTTGGAACCGCATCCGTCACCTTGTAATTGGGTTCGTATAAGGCACGAAGAGGATTGAACTTCTCGCTGCACACATCCAATTCGGGATCCTGGCAGGAGTCCTCTTCTTTTGACCCCTTCTGTGCCTTTGATTCGCTGTCGCTCATTTTGAAGACTCCCAGAAGAACGTACGTAAGTAAGAATACCACTTAAGATCTGCCTTTTAACCTCTTCTTTAAATGCTGCTTAATTGTTAGACAAATGTAAACAAATTCGCCGGCTACATGGCCGATAAAAGTTATCGATTAACCTGAAGGCGGTAGAGATGGTAATTTAAAAACAAAAAAAATTCATAAACAAATAAAACCTGTTTTTATGGTGTTATTTGCTAAAATAACTTGCTATAAATAACTAACCAAATTACATTCATTATTCATAAGTTTTTGTATTCCCTTGATTTTCCTAATGTAATTAAAGGTGTGAAATGTTGTCCAGTCTTGGATAGATCTTCATCAAAAGAGAGCTTTTCTCCAACAAATCTAATGAGAGGAGCTTTTAACGCAGGGAAAGCAACAAGTGGCTACAGAGCAAACCAGGAGATCATGGCAAGTGAGTGCAAAACCGATTTAAATCAACAGAAACTTTGGTAATTTTGGTTATCCTGCAGCCGGTGGAAGCAACGCGACCTTTGACCTCAGTCCCAAGGCCCTGGTGGGCGTGGGCGTCGGTCTGGTGGCTGTGGGCGGGGCCAGTTACCTACTGTACCGCCACCTGACCCGCGATGTAATGCCCCAAAAGTGGCGACGTGTGGGCACTGTGCAGAGGATTCACTTCTTTCCGGTCAAGTCCTGTGCTCCTCTGGAGATCGCACAGCCTGACGTGGAGTACGACGTCGATGTGCTCAGCATGTCCTTTGAGGGAATAAGGGATCGCACCTTGATGGTGGTCAATGACCAAAACGAGATGGTCACGGCTCGGGTGTATCCACAGATGACCCAGATCCACTCAAAGAAGGTTTCGCCCGGCAAGTTGCTCTTTAGCGCCCAGGACATGCCCGACCTGGAGTTGGACTTTGAGAAGCTTGAGGGCCCCGAAAAGGATGTGCGCACCGCCGTCTGGGGCGTGCCCGTGGACGTGATGCCCTGCGGGGATCGGATCAACAAGTGGTTCTCCCAGGCTATCCTAAAGAAGGATTCCGGCCTCAAGCTGGTTCACTATCCCTATCCAAAGCCAGTGATGACTATTAATCCGCGGCTCAAGAACATGCCCTTCATTAGGCAGGAGGATTCGGTGAGTGTTTTAATCCCGTGTCCAAACTTTGGGGTTTAATTAACTTTAAATTAATAAGGACTAGTTCACCCAAGATAAATATTCCATTTAAATGGCATCTACCCTTTCCTGTATCATCTTCCAACAGGGCACCTTCAACGATGCCACCAGTTACATGCTGATGAACCTTTCGTCGGTGGCAGATCTTAATACCCGACTAAAGAACCCTGTGGATGCACAGCAGTTCCGCGGTAATTTCGAACTGAAAATGGATGTGGATGAGCCCTATGCCGAGGACAACTGGAAATGGCTTCGCATTGGGGATGATGCTGTGTTCCGTTCGGTGGCGCCCTGCACCCGATGCATTTTTCCGAACATAAATGTAAGGACGGCTGAAAGGGACCCCGATGGGGAACCACTCAAGACCTTGAGGAGGTGGGTCATTGCACTGTGCAAAGTCTAGGCAATCCGAATTATCGTGGTAATGATTACTTGTACTTCACAGCTACCGCTTGTTCAACTACAGCTCGCCGGCCCTGGGCATTCACTTGGGACTTCGGCTGCCGGGAAAGGTGAAGGCCAACGATGTGGTGTACGTCGGGTACCAGTGAACCCTTCTAGGACTTTTCCAATAACGAGTCCTGTTCACGTTTTTTATATGTACATAGCTTTTAGTATGAAAGTACCGTAAACTGTAAGAAAAACAGCCGCACTTACATTTCCAAGATTGTTTGGTGTCATTTTTGAGTGGGTTTCCAAGAGTTCCAGACTGGAATCGGGAAGAAGAGCGATCAGGGAACTAAGAAGATTCAGAGATCAACAAGTGTATGCACCTCTACTGGATTTCCAGGTGTTTGACGATCTTTTTAGTCAACCAGACATTGAAGTGAAGATAGATTGTTGGGAAGCAGAGCATTTAAGCATTTGAGTTCTCCCCTTAAAGAACTTTGATATACAAATGTAAACAAATTTGCCGGCTGCTTGGCTGATAACAGTTATCGATTAAAGTGCAGGTGGCAGTAAAATTATTTTAAAACAAAAAAATACATGAAATAAATAAATGTTTTACTTTTATTATATTTTTAATGGAGATAAAATGTTGTTTTTTTGTTATGATTCCTTTTTCCAACGTTCCAGGCAAAAATGGATGTATGTACATGTTGTCCAGCCTTTAATCTTCAAAGGAAAGCTTTTGTCAAATAAATCTAATCAGTAGAGCTTTTAACGCAGAGCAAGCAACAAGTGGCTACACAGCAAAACAGGAGATCATGGCAAGTAAGTGTAAAACCGATTTAAATCAAGAAAACATTGGTAATTTAGGTTATCCTGCAGCCGGTGGAAGCAACGCGCCTTTTGACCTCAGTCCCAAGGCCCTAGTGGCCGTGGGCGTCGGACTGGTGGCTGTGGGCGGGGCCAGTTACCTACTGTACCGCCACCTGACCCGCGATGTAATGCCCCAGAAGTGGCGACGTGTGGGCACTGTGCAGGCGATCCACTTCTTTCCCGTGAAGTCCTGTGCTCCTCTAGAAATCTGGAAGCCTGACGTGGAGTACGACTGCGATGTGCTGAGCATGTCCTTTGAGGGAATAAGGGATCGCACCTTGATGGTGGTCAATGAGAAGAACGAGATGATCACGGCTCGGACCTATCCGAAAATGACACAGATCCGCTCGAAGAAAGTGTCGTCCGGCAAATTGCTCTTTAGCGCCCAGGACATGCCCGACCTGGAGTTGGACTTTGAAAAGCTTGAGGGCCCCGAAAAGGATGTGCGCACCGCCGTTTGGGGCGTGCCCGTGGACGTGATGCCCTGCGGAGATCGGATCAACAAATGGTTCTCCCAGGCTATCCTAAAGAAGGATTCCGGTCTCAAGCTGGTTCACTATCCCTATCCGAAGCCAGTAAAGGCTAGCAATCCGGACCTCAAGGACATGCCCTCAGTAAGACAGGAGGATACGGTGGGTATCTCGTACCAGTTTTCAAATTGTAGGGCTATTTAGCGGCTTTAAAATTACTATAGTAGCTTATACTTCCCAGAGTATCCAGGGCAAACATTTTTTTAACCGATATCTTTTTATGTATCCTGTTTTCATAGGGCGCCTTCACCGATGCCACCAGTTTTATGCTGATGAACCTTTCGTCGGTGGCTGATCTTAACACCCGGCTGAAGAATCCAGTGGACGCCCTGCATTTCCGTGGAAGTTTCGATCTGAAAATGGATGTGGATGAGCCCTATGCCGAGGACCATTGGCAGTGGCTTCGCATTGGAGATGATGCTGTGTTCCGAACGGTGGGCCCATGCACTCGCTGCATCGTTCCGAACATAGATGTGAAGACGGCTGCGATAAACTCCGACGGAGAGCCACTCAAGACGCTGAAGAGGTTAGTCATTGCCAAATCGGCACAATCCTTCTTAGCGTTTTACTTTGTTTCCATAGCTACCGCAAGTTCAAGTACAGCGCACCGGCTATGGGCATTCATTTGGGACTTCGGCTGCCAGGAAAGGTCAAGGCCAACGATGTGGTCTACGTTGGGGACCAGTGAACACTTTGATGGCTTTTCCAGAATAGTTTACTGTATATATTCACGTTTGTTACATAGAACATATATAATGAGAGTACCGTAGAGTTTTATATGCAAATATACATGTGTTATGAGCCTATAACAATACAAACAACTTTAAAAAGCGCGTCTTAAACACAGGACTGCCAGGCAAGACCACCGCAGGCCATGCTCACGACCACGTAAACAATGAAGGTTATCACTAGGCCCACCACCACGTAGATGCGGATGTTCTTCCAGAACATTTGTCGTGCCAAGTTTCGCGAGGCTTTGCGGAATGCAACGGACTGTAAAAAAAAGCAGATAAGGTAACATTTCTCAGCTTACTTGGTGGCATCTTACATTATTGCTCAGGTTTTCGGTCTTGTTGACCAGCAGTTCCAGTTTCTCGCCGCGATCCCGCAGACTGTCTGCAATTGCGATGAAGAGGGGTCAGAAAACTAATACTATTCTGAGATCAGGACTCCTTCTCACCAATATTCTTAACCATTATGTCTTTTAACTCGTCGATCTGTCCGTGGACCCGCGAAATGGTGTCCACCTCCCGCGACTGACTGAAGTAGACCATCTGCTGGGCCAGGATCTTGGAGAACTCCGTGTTCATCGAGTAGGCAATGGCCGTGGCCACCTGCAGGCCATAGGTCTGGATGAACTTCTGCTTGACATCTGCCAAGAAGAGGAAGGCCCGCGATTGCTCGAACTCCTACGAAGATAAAGATACATTATCGATTGGGCAATGAGTGGGCCACTGGTGGGTAACTGGGCCAGTGGTTCGTTCACCCACGTTGTCGGTGATGCACATGTAAACCAGCTTGTTCTCGCAGTTGTAGTGGATCAGGTAGTCGCCGTGTGTGTAGGTCATCTTGTGGTTGTGCACCCCGATCCGGCCGATTATGTGCTCCGTGACTTCGGCAAAGTTGCCGACGCACTCGGCAAACTTGGCCAGCACCGTGGTGCCCCGCGATATGACACTGTAAAGTATGGGCATGCTGGTGCCGCAGACTCTTCTTTGTTAAGGGTGCGGTTCGTCACTTCCTGCCCCTGCTCAATCCGCTTTGTTTTTGGCTTATCGGGGGGAATCAACAGCGAATCGCCACTGATGACGTGCGATCGGAATCTGTGAGGTCAGAAAATTATTGATTTAGTAGCTACTAGTCTAAGCCACAGCCCTTAAGTCGCAACAATAAGTGTCGTTCATGAGTAATATGTAATATATGTACAATTTACATATATATTGAAATATCAACGTACTTGCTTTGTTTATCCAATTAACTTTGCTTCGGGTAGCTGGACAAACTTCAGATTTACATTTTGGGTTTAGCGGCTCTGGCTAACATGAATTTCATTATTTTTATTGGCGCGGACTTGAAAACATCACGAAATTAATACAACTTTTGCATTGCTAATAACAACAATTGCTGACGCTTCGGATGCAGTTATACAAATTAGAGGTGGGAAAACATCGATTGCACTATCGATGCATCGGATTAATGCTATCAAAGTAATCTGGAAGTATAGTATGCGGTCACCCTAAATAACGCGATTTTATAAAATGTGTTTAACGGTCTTATTATTATTTGTTTTTGAATAATATATTTTATGACTCTGTGGGATGAAACAGGGACATCCCATCAACGTCTTGGAGTATCAACTGGAAGATTAGATCATTCAGTTGAGAACCGACCAAGACAAAGTACGTAAAAGCGTTCGGAAATAATTTGCAATTCCATAAATTAACATATAAGCCGTTGTGTATTCAAACCAGAAAGACATACAATTTGTAGTAAGCTTTGAAACCTGAGATCAGTTAGTTGAGATTAGTACTCCCGAGCAGACACATGTAAGTAAACTAGTTACATTTAAACAAAAAAAAAGGCATATATAAAAATTGTTCTAAAATTTAAAAGCCAAAATGAGTTTCTAGTATATAAGATGTAAGTGAGTTACATGATTTTAAGAAATATAAGTTTAGGGATTTAATAAAAGAACCATATATATAAACTGCCCCTCAATATTTATTCTGGTCATGATTGTCATAAACTTTGCACATTTACATTAACATTTTGAGCTGGGAACGTGACTTTTCTCGTAGCGCGATACATTTGGTATATACGTAATTTAAAGAATATTTCCCAAATTAATAACATAGAATATTGAACAAAACCAGAGGCATGCCTTAGATCATATTTCTGTAGTTTAAATTATTATGATTTCAATAATGAACGTGTAGCTTAATTTTTTCCAAACTTTAGTAAATTTAAAACGGCTTAAAGTTCAACAGGTGATAAATTGGCTAAATGCATTTATAAGTTCTTCATATCATATCGTACAATAAATCATTTTAAAATGTAAAACGTAGCTTAATATATTCTATAAGTATGTATATATAAGCAAAGATAACATTAATTATCTTACAGCTATAGCCATTTGCAAATAATTAGGTGTTACCTACCAATTTTTATATCTCTTTCTAAAATTGTTTATTCTTATATTGTTTATCCTTTAAAAGCTCTTTAAAATAACCTACAAAGTAAAAAGATTAACATATATTATTGAAAATTTGAACACCCGCACAAGTCTCAAATAGGAATAAATAAACACAGAAAACCAACAAATAAACAGAACAATGTATTTCATTGATTGCGCTATTAAAAGTTGCACACAAGAACTGGAATGCTTGCTGTAGACATATGTACATACAAATTATTTGGTTTCAAATAACTTTGGGACCATCAAAAAATATGTTCTAAAAGATTTTAGAAAAACAATCGGTTTTACATACACATGAATAGCTTACAGTTGTGATCAATTAAATAGTAGTAAACAGGAGTATTTTGTATACAAAAAATTCTTTTATATTTGTTTATGTTATCAATGTTTTTTTAACGGGCAATCTTATTTGAATTTCGAATTCACAGTAAGCTTTCGCGAATTCCTGAGATCGATCTGGCAACCCGTTTCCGTTTACCATATGTTTGGCGAAATGGCAATCGCAAGCGGCGCGGAAGAAGAGGAGCACGAAGTGCGGACGGCGAAGAGCAGGAAATGTTTTTATTTGAAAAAAATGATCGGAGATTACATAGGTGAGTGACGATTGATAAGGAGCTATGGCTACGACGGACTATAAAGCCGTGATTCATTGCAGACACCTCTGTGCGCGTTGTGG